TGTTTTAACGTGTTTAAAAGATCTTTTAGTGGATGCAACAGCTAGAAGAAAGTCCAGACTTTGATGTGTGATAATCACATTGCATTTAAGTCCAGTTTTGCTAATTTCTTTAAATTTAGTTAAAAATCCATAAATATCTGGGGTTTGCTTGAAAGTTACTAGATCCTGCAGTTTTGTGACTCCATGAGAAAATTCATTTGGCACCCTAAAAACTCAAAAACACAGAAAAGAAATATATCAAGTATGCCAGGCTCATTGCATTTTCAGAAAACGCTCAAGCCACTTGTGGGCCTTCTGGAGCCCTGATTAATAGATTTTATATAACTGAGTTTGGAGATTGGGTGCACTGCCCTTTTTCCATGTGTGGGGCGATCATGTTTTATGTTCCACCCCCACTGCTCACATCCTTGCTCAGACAAGATGTATGTGTGACAACGTTTTCTCTGAGGACTGCCTGTTCCTGCCAGGTGGCAGAGAGGTTGTGGTTGGGGAGTTCAAGAGGTCACAGCAGTTCAGGACCATCAGCAGACCTCAGATGGCAGTCACTAGGAAAAAGTGTGGTTTATCTGTTCTTAGGTGGAAGTAATATTAGAGATCAAGGGATACAACCTGCTCTGGCTCTGCTTGCTGCTAACAATAGAGCAGCACTCACATCAGCTCCCACCTTCCTCCCAGGCTGAGCTGAGTTGGATATAGTCAATCTTTAATCTAATTTAAAAATATTAAACTGCAATCAGGAAATGCTGAAACCGAGATGCAATTGTTCATGCAGCAGAGACATGTGCAGCCCAAAACCAGGTAGGGAGCTGCAAAGGCAGCTCTCAGCTTTGCGTGGACTCTGGAGGCAGCCTGCTTATGCTCATCCCTGTTGCAATTTAAAACAGCTCAAAGCCTACCTATGCCAGCCTTTTGGAGAGCCCTAGAGTTCGTGCTGGACTTGCATACAAATCGTAGGGATGCTTCCCCAACATTTGATGGGAGCAGGAGCATGGAAGCTACCGCTGGTGGGGGGGTCCTAGTGAAGCAGAAGAGGAAACTACAGTGGTGTGCTGCTGTGGGGGAAAAGCAGAAAAGAGGAAGGAAAGTTTATAATGTGCAAACAAGAGTTTCATATGCAATACGTACAAAGCAATTCCCTTCTCCCCTTAATGCTGACAATATTGTACCCCATTTTGGGGACCATTCTTAGCCCATAGGACAACAGTAGAAACAATGAGAAGTCAAGAAAGTGAAAGATTTTCTCTGTCATGACAAGAAAAGATCCAAGACAAACATGTCAGGAAACCTGAAATACTTGACATGGTGTCCAAGAAAAGAGAGGAAAACCCTCTACAACTTAAGGGATGACAGGTTCAAGCCATGGCAACAAAACTGAGACTAGACTTGAAGGAAAAAGCTTCTGTAGTAGTGAGGTACTGCATTTCTGAGGAGAGAGGTGGTGAGGCCTCTGTCAGGGGATGTCTTCAAGAGCAGGTTAAGCAGACCTCTTTCAAGAGTAATCTAGGTAGACCTGTGCCTGTCCTGTGCCCAAAAGCCGGGCTTGACAGTCTGCTACTGTCTGTCCGGGAAGATTAGACTTTGCCCTTTAGAAAAGAAATACAGCATCTGGGTCATTCTAGTTAGGACCAGTCACAAAGACTTTGGTGATCATAGTGAGAAAAAGATTCCTCGCTCTCCTTCACCAGCCGTTTCTGTTGGATAGTGTTGGATAAACACAGCACCGTGGAGCACACTAATGCATTGGCCCTCACAAAGCTGCTTTCTCTGGTTTTTTGGAGATGGATCCCTGAATTCTCCTGTAGCAGAGGGACGTACACTACCAGCAGAGTGGTGGTTTGCTTCTCTGTGCTGCTGCTGCAGCAGGGCCAAGGATGTGGCTTTCAGTCCCTCTGGAAGTCCTGCTCTGAGCAGATGACAGAGTGAGAGTAGGATTTAAACGTGCAGTAGTCCCCCAGTTTCCAAATAAGTGTACTCTTTCTACAAACCTAGCGCTCAGGAGAGGCAATGCGGATAGTTTGTCCTTCCTGCCCTAGATGCAGGTGTGCATCTTGGCCTGGGCATAAAAAGCTATAGAGTCATTTAGCATTCACGTAACCCAGGGCACAGTGGTAGCAACTCCCAGGGGTTAGAAGCTGCTATCATAACAGTCTCCAAAGCAGTGAAAGGACTAATCAGACTGAACATGTACAAGCTTCTCCCCATGTCATTACGTTGGTATTTAATGGTGACTCACTAGCAATATGGCAGTGACGGCAGCTGCATTAATGCCTGTGGCTTCTATCATCCACCAGCACAAATATTTTTACCATTGTTATCTTGAAAATAATGTTTAAAATACCTGAGCTCCGCCTGGAGCAGCTGCTGTCTCCTTACCGGCTTCTGCTGCGAAAAGCACACTAAGTTTCCCTGGTCTGACATACTGTGCCTATCAAATGGAGATAACATTGCTGACTTGTCTCCTCAGTAACTCTTTAATGCTTGAGAAGCCTCTGTCAGGGTTCACTTGTACAAACTCTGCAAGGCGGACAGGCAAAAGCAGCAGTGCTTACACTCCTGCTGACACTTTATTAAAAAATTATACCTCTTTGGAAGGTAACATCTCAGGGCATATGCTCAGAAAGTACTTGTTGTTGCTCTCCTCTGTTCCCTTTCACATTCCGTGCTCATTCCAGCATATCACACTTCATCTAGTCAGTTCTGGAGCATGGACACCACGTCTTTCTCATTTGTTATGAAAAGCCATTTCAGAAACTGCTTGACCAGGCCAAAAATAACATTGAATGCCTGAGTGTCTTTACCCAGTGAAGAACATCACATGGAGCACTGCTGAGTGTGTGACACCCATGCAGCATCACCTCGCTTGTAAGTCCCAGGAGGTTATGAGCTGCTGCAGCCCCATTTATAAAACCTTTGGCGCCTCAGTGAAGTTTTATAGCATGTCCCAAGACAATCTGCAGCCACAGCCCTCCCCTTTCCTCCCCTGAGCCAGCTAAGCTGGTAGCTGGGAGTTAAAATGTCTTAAAATGCACATTACAGCAGTGTCTGAACACCTCCTAGCCATGTTTCCTCAGAGTGATCTTCCCCTACTGATATAAGATTGTTTCTCCTTCACTGCCCTTTAGAAATCAGGACTTGAGGTGCAAGGGGTAAGTGTCTGCCCTGGTGTCACCCAGTGGGGCTCTGCATCCCTTTCTTCCACAGGAAGTTCCTTGAGCCACTAAACCATTTTCCTGTTTTTTTTTTTTTTTCTTTTTTTGAGCACCGAGCACAGATCTTCTGCTTTGCTATTGCTAACTCATTACGCACTGTGTTCACACCCAGAATTGGCACTGACCCATTCCTTACCTTTTCCAGTGAAAAGCCAGCAAGAAGCAAACAAACAAACAAAAAAACTTTTCTTTTTGGTGGAAAGCCCTTCAGGCAAAAGAACAACTTAAAAAATGAAAATACTGTTTTGCTAGGAACCTGAACTTCAGTTTGTTTTTGACAATCAAAATGTCAAATTTTAAAGTAAAACATATCATTTTCAATGTAAAATCAGTTTCCAGTTCTCGTTCTTACCACTGCAAAGTGTGGAGGCCTTCATGTTTTTGTTTTCTTCAACTACTATTTAACATTTTTCGCTTGCCTTCAGAACTTTGCAAGGAAAAAATATTTACCTCAACCCCATCTAACCAGGGCTGCTATAATATAGTGTCAGCTGGCTTTTTTGATTTGTGTGTTTACAGCATTAAGACTATTATGTATAGCAGTCCCAATTCCCAGTGGGACCTGCTAAGTATTATTGCAATATAACATAATTAATAACAAATTTAGCAACCTAAAAATGCAAGTGAGTATGCACATTAAGGAAACTCCGCATAAGGTACAGAATACAAAATACCACATCCTATTGCAGCAAGATTTTTTAATGAGTTTCAGATAACAGCCCATGTTCAAAGCAGGAGGCTGAACAGCATGTATGACCGGGGCGGGGGGGATCATTAATGGCTGATCAGGAGTGAAGATAGGCCACGGGTGCTTTGGGTAAACACCCCTTCTGGTTGTACCGTGAATCAGTTCCCATGAGGACAGGAACTTTGCACGCCCTCAGATGGAGAGGGGGCTGCCAGAGGATGCTCTGCACCCTCTACATCCGAGCACGCTTCTGGGTCCAGTTTTGCACAATGCAAATCAGAGCAGAAGCCACCTCAGGACGTCGCTGAGAAGTCTGCAGCTGGGGGACTCCCCTGCGGCCCGCAGATGGCAGCAGCTTTTCCACCAACAGAGCCAGCAGCCCAGCCTCCCCAAAGCCTCCTTCAGCAACAGCGTGGCAGGAGCCCCCAGGGCCTGTTTGGAAAGCCTGCTCCAATTTTGAGGCTGGAAACAGAGATATTCTGTCCTGAGCGTTAGAACAAAGAAAGCGGTCTTCGCAGAGAGAGAAAAACCCGTAACCCGTGCTGCACAGCGGCTAGGAGACTAATACTTCACAATAGCTATAACAAAAAGTCGGGAGGGGGGAAATCAATGTTGTGCATCTTTGGTCTGCTTTTTATAAACAGACTCGTGTGCACGGAGGAAATTGCTCCTTGCTTTTGCAAAAGCAACACCACCACACGCTGGTGGTTGGGCTTGTAGGGAGGCAGCATGCAGCATGCTGGACAACTGTACTCGCTGTTTCATTGTGTGCACGAGGATGGTCAGTAGCAAACACACATGGGGAGAGTGTCAGCTCTGCAGAGAAGTGGCTGGGAGTTTGTCTGTGAAATTCAGCATGTCATAGTTTCCGAATGGGCCTGATTCTCGCCCATAAACTAGTTCCCCCTGCTTCCCTCATCCTGATGGAGCACTGAAGAGAGCCTCAGTACTAATGAGAACGGCACTGACCTTTAGTGAAGAACCAGCTGAAGGATTTGGGCCTAGTCATTGTGATTCTAGCTTCTCTGATATTTATCTTAAAGCCCTTCCTGAGTATTGCTGGTTTAAATTCTTCCTAACTCCATTTTCTTGATGTCTCTTAGTGGATGCTAAGGCCTCCAAAATTAACCAGCCCATGGAGGACAGGAGATTTAAGAACGTGGAGACAACTGAGAGGAGAAGAATCTGGGCTAACAGAGCTTCTTATCAAGGTCAGTCTCCTGGTTCCATGTGATTCTGAAAGTCTCAGCTTATATTTAAAAAAGAAAGAAGAGAAGTAAATTCTATCCCTATTAATCACAGAGGATCAGAGATTAAAAATCTCAGTTCAGGTGGTAAAAAAAAGGAACAGCCAGATTAATCTAGGACATATTACTCCAGCTGATGACCTGCCCCAAAACCTTCCAAGTCCCACTTTATCATCCTGTTTATTTTCTCCTTCTTATATTTCTTATGTTTCCTGCCCCCCAAAATTACAAAAATTGGTGAAGCGTCAAGAGAAAATGTGAGCAGGATATTGAGAGGCCATTAAAGGAAGGAAAGAAAAAGAAAAAGAAAAAAAAAGCATAGGAGTTTAAGTTTCTGGTTTGGATATGATAATACAAGGTCTTCACCAACCAGGAAGATTATGTCCCTTTCCTCAGAAAGCCTCCAACATACAGACTGATAGAGTAGCTCAAGCAGCACAGATGATGTTCGCTGCCATTGCAGTTAATAATATACTGTCAGGCCTAAAAACAGTAAACAGCTTCAGCATCAAGGCCAGCAGGATTCCTTCCAAACCTCTGGATGCAAAACAAAGTATGTCAGGACAAGTCCCCTGCTTTCTTTCACGGGGCTGTTTCCCAGCTCCTGCCTGGTGGGGCAGCCTCTCCTCCCACGATTCACATGTAGTGAGGATGTGACCCCTTTCAGCAGTTTAGTCCTACTGGGCTTTTTCGGAAACGTGAATGCCAAGAAACTTATCATCCCAGATCAGGAAAATCACCTCTCGTTCCCTCCTGAGCTCAGCAAGCCTTCAAGTCGTAGATTAATGGCATGGCCCACGGCAACACGGGGGGATGTTTTCCACAATCAGCTGGCCCATGTGAGCATGCAGGCCTCTCCGTTCTCATTGCTTATCATCAACAGCATGAGGCCTGCACTGAAATGCCAAAGTGACTCCCTGGCCAGGTGAGGAGCAAAGCCAGCAAGCCTTGCGGAAGTGCCAAGCAGAAAGAAAACCTAACACCAGGCTTCTCATTTCAACCAAAGGCAAGAACCGATGCTCACACTCCTAAGTCTCAATGGAGACGTGCTCTTTGCCATGTTCAGCTGTTCCCAGATTTTGCAGAATCAAGAAATGCGTTTGAAAGAAGAGGTAATTTAAAGGGAGGAAAAAAAAAAATTTCCTTATTTTTATGTGTCTTCTGGAAATCATGACTGCCTCCCCCTAACCTTGGCCTGTTTTACTACTGTAGGTTTGCACTTCTGCAGCGGTGATGTATTGCCAGGTGAACAGAGATTACTGTGGAGAGTGTCTTTATGTCAGCTCTTGGTGACCTGTGCTGTGGTGAAGCCTGTGAAAATGGTAAGTGATTGCAGAGAAGCATTAGCCAGGCCAACAGGACTGAGAAGCCCTAGTTTAGACTAAAAGCTTTTCAGGGCATCAAGTGTCTCTCTGCCTCAGTGTGTTAAGGACTCAGCATGGTAATCCCTTGATACTGTTTGGGGCCTGCGGGTAATGCAGCTCTAAAGATAAGAGCTGTTTCTTTCTAATTCATCCCTCTTGTCCATGTGCTGTTCTTACAAACAGGAAGGGAATGCCCAAAAAAAAAAAAAAAGTCAACAAGAAGACTTCAGGAAAATGGAAAATGTACTGTAATGAAAACGTACTGTAAACCTTGGCGCTAGGAGGCCTGGTGTAGCAGAGCTGTGCTGAAGCAAGGCAGGGGTAGATGATTCTTTCAGAGCAGAAGCAAATTCACCTGCCATCCTCTTTTGGTGACCTCCAGACATAACCACATTCCCTTCCCAGCATGGGAATGGGCATGGACAGGCCTCCCCAGCCACACAGCTATGAGAAAGGATTAAACAAGCTACCCCACATCTGCCAGACGAGAAGAGCCTGCATGCAGAGCAGCTTTCCCTGAGGGCAGAGAGGCAGGCAGGGGTCAGTAGGTCCAGCCACAAATATATCCGGAGAAGGAAGGACCCTTGTTTATGAGCAGAAACAAATCATATGCTGCTCTTAGCACTGACGTTCACAGCCCAGATTCAGCCTCAGTGTCGTCGTTAGCGGCTGCCTCCCCGAAAAGTCCGTGGGGGCTGCAGAGAAGGGGGCTGCGCGGGGAAGGAGCGCCGTGTCGATCCATGATTTGCAAGTCTGCAGGGGCAAGTCCAGGACTGACGCAAGGCATCACTTTGACTCGTCAAGGGCGCTTGGCCTGCAAGACAGCACTGCCCAGGGCCAGGCCCTGCTGTCCACTCGCCTTCCCGCGACCCATGAGGGGAGGGCTGAAAGCACTGGGCTGGTTTAGTGCCCACATGAGAAGATCAATGGGAGGTGTTGCATCAGCCTTCAAACACTGAGAAGTTTGCTATATGGCACAACAGGAATAGACCGTTCCCCATGCTCCACTGAAATAGAAGGAACGGGTACAAACTGCAGCAACAGATTTGGGGATGGCACAAAGGGAAACAAAGGAAAGGAAAGAGCAGCAAAGCAGAGGAATAGCTTCTTTTGAGGAGATTGTGGGAGGTGGTGAGGAGCAGTACAGAAAAACCTATGTTAGGAATGATAATCATTTGTTGAGTCTGCTGGGCGGAAGAGAGATGGACAAGAAGAGCTGTGAAAGTGCTCCCCAGGTCTGTTTTAGATTTACGTGTGCCAGTCAAGATGTGGGCTCTTTTGGTTTTTTTCTGTCGTTTTGTTTCGTTTTTTAGTGTCTGGCTGTCTGATTGGTATGACTGCAACAGGGGTTGTCCAAAACAAATAGTTCAAAATGCTCATCAAAGAAGGAACTGCATTTCTCCCTCAAGGCAGTTTGGATTTCAGAGGACGGCTTTGGGAGTAAGGAAGAGCAGAAGCAAACCCTAGGTCCTGGAAGAGTGATTGCATCTGAGCTTTTTAGGGCAAGATTAACTGTTCTGCGTGCACCTAGTTTGAGGCATTTCTGTAATACCACAGAGAGGAACCCTCTTCAAGCGCTGCAGAAGGGAAACACAGAAACCCAAGTATTTCAAGTGGCTTTAAACTACTGGGCTATAACGAGTCATCTTCCCCATGACCAGATGGCGTGACGAAGCAGCAAAGGCAAGGCCAGGAACCCATTTCAGGCCAGACTTCAGGTCTGTGGGCACCTGGAGTGAGGACCCCACACCAGATCCCATGCCAGACCCTGAATACAAGACCTTTCTTTCCTTTTGGCAATGGCTGAGGTCATATGAATGGACCCAAAAAGTCCATGCAAACACTTTGTTCAAGGAGGAATACTCATTGCCTGGGCCGGAAGGCAGAACTTGGCAGACAACAAGAGCTTCCCTGCTGTCGAGTATGTCCCTCTGGGATGTGTTAATATCGTGGGACAGTGGAGAACCACCATTTCTCTTTATCAAGCATAGTGGGAGATGCACAACAGCTGGCCACCAGCATCATCCAGAGTGCTAGAAGTGTGCTGCAAGCCTGCTCTCCAGAGACGTAACAGGAGAGAAGGGGAAGGGGAAAAAAAAAAGGGAGGGGAGGGGAGGGGAAGGAAGGCAAGGCAAGGCAAGCCAGGGCAAGGCAAGGCAAGGCAAGGCAAGGGAAAATGGGACTAATGGGAAAATCAGGGTACTGAGCCTCTCCTACTACAAACTCCTGTTTTAATGCCATGTTGATTTAGAAGAACCGACACTCCTCCTGCGGTGACCTCCCTGTCTTTGTTTAACTTCATTGGCAACAGTTACTCATGTGGGAAGAGTAAACTTGGAATTTCATTTATATAATGCTCCATGGGGCATGGACCAATCCTTTCCAGCTGATATTCTTCACATGGTCAGGCAACTGAATGATTAGGAGAGGAATATGTGACTATGTAGTTAAAGGGTTAAAATTCCTAAGATTCATATACTTGGCAGGCATCTCCCACCAAACAGACTTTTCCCAAGCTTTTACAGTCCACAGGACAACAAAAGTGTGTGTGTTTTGGGGGGGGGAGGAGGGGAACGGTGAAGGCTCAGTAGGGAGAAATAAACAGTGAGGCTGCTAGGGTACTGCTGTGCCACCAGCAGCATCTCATTCTGGAACAAGAGTGCAATGCACAGAGACTTTAAAGGTGAGGACTGGTGAATGTCAGGTATTCAAAAGCCAGGATCTGCCACCCAAACAGCATGGGGCTGGCTTAAGGGTTTTGAGTTTCAGGCTGAGATGTTCAAGGGACTATGTGATTCCTGGGACTGTGGCTATGCTACCACTGCCAAGGGCTGCATAGGCTCTGGTGGCATGTCACATGGAAATAGTAGTGAAGTAAAGAGGACAGGGATTAAAACCAATCAAGCCAGAAGTTCCCAGCACCTGAATCGCTAGTTTCATATCTGGGCTTGCATTACTGTTTTGTAAATCTGAGACAGCAGGCTTTGGCTCAGATGGTGTTCCTCCTCCCAACGCCATGCCTACACGGAGAATAAGAGGCTCAGATTCCAGGGCTGTCCTGCTTTTTCCATGAGATATTACTCCTAGAGCCTCTGGACTGTGTAAGGAGGCCAGTCTGTGGGTCTAAGATCCTGCTTGATGGGGGGATGGAGCCAAGTCAGGGTGAGCCCAGGGATGGCAAATACACCAGAAAAGGCAAAAGCATATGGCCAGAGCAGGGTGGGGATGCACATTGGACATCAGCTCTGGGGACAAATCAGAGAGACTTCTTGACTTCTTGATTAGAGAGAGAGGCTGAGAGAAATGATGCCTACAAAGTCCCTCTCCCATGCAAGATTTTCTCTTACTGCTTCTCCTCCTGGGGTAAGAAATGATCCTGCTCTGAGCTAATCTCAGCTACACAGATTGAAGAGGAAAGCACATACAGGATAGCTTTTAAACTGACCAAAGTAAAAATCAGTGGGGTTCAGTAAGTGCCTTCTAATTTTGGTCCTTTTAAAAAATGATTCCAAAGGATGTAAAGTGAGGATTTTCAAATGCCATGA